CACACACACACACACACACACATGCTTTGGCATTGTTTCCCTGGCATACTGCTTAGAGAACCCTTCCTCCCCCATCCCAACACCAAGCCTCTCACCACCGTCAAAGTGACGCCAGCCATTTGGGAAATGAGAAGGGGGAGGTACCAAGAGAGGGTGAGGAATGAAGGTCAATCAGTCATCCTGAGTCTGCGGGCTTCCTGTGCCTGTCAGGATCCAGGAACTGCCACCGCCCCAGCAGCACCTCCGGGAATGCCATTTTTCTACCCTGTCGGCCAGAGGCAGGACTCCGTGTGTGCACATGCGCTGTGACAGGCTGGGGTCTGCCAATCCAGTTCCTTCTTGCCCACTCAGGGTGGAGAGAGATTTGAGGTTTTCCATTCGACTGCGTGCGTGTGTGTGTGTGTGTGTGTGTGTGTGTGTGTGTGTGTGGTCAGTACTCTTAGCCTGAGTTGTAGGAGGTATTTCTGGATTAGGTGTCTGTCTCCTTGTATTATATATACTGCAAAGGAGTTTGGGTATGTGTGTCTGGATATACTTTTGTGTATGTACTAGGGATTGAACCCAGGGCTGTTTCACTGAGTTATGGCCTAAATCCTTGTTTTGGTTTCATTTTGAGATGGGATCTCACTAAGTCACCAAGTTATCCAAGGTGGGGGTCTAACTTGCAATTCTCCTGCCTCAGCCTCCCAGAATACTGAGATTGTAGGCATGTGCCACCACATCCAGGTGCATATACTTGTGTGCCCAGGAGTGTAGTGTGGGTCTGTATAATGGGGCCCTGGTTATGTGGGTACCTAGCAGTGCATGCACCTCCCATATGTTGTGTAGAGCCTTTGCCTTGTCATGCCTGTGACTGGGAGTGTTGCAAGTGTTGGTGAGTTTGGTATGTATCCAGTTGTATTTTGTGTGCCTGTAGATTTGTATGTACCTCTGTACTACTCATGGATAAATCTTTGTACTGTGTTTGTGTCCCTCTGCAATGTGAGTTTGGGTAGGGGGAAGGAGCTTGGCTTTGTGTTTTTACACCCCCAGAGTGCTGGTTGTGTGGCTCAGAGTGTGGTGTGCTGCCCAGGAATCCTGACTGTTGTCCACACCATGGGCACCTGGCTGGCTCAGTGTTCACGCAGCAATACCTGCGAGGGTCTCTGCTCAACCCTAGAGCTGGGTGTGCTCGGAGCCTGTGTTGATTGTCTGTCCCAACACTCATGGGCTGGGTAGACCTGAGAGTTTATGTGAGTCTCTAAGTCATGCACACACAGCTTGCCTGAGAGGTCCAGTTGCTACATGCTAACCACTACACGCCCATACACACACACTCATCTCACTATCATCCTTTCATTTTAAAAACAAACTTTCTCTTTTCTGGGAAAGTCTCCCACC